GATAGATATAAAAAAAGAATAAATAAGCAAACACTCCTTGACTCTCTCTCATATAAAACAAAAATGTATGCTTCAATCGATAGAAACTACTAGATGTCGCTAAAAAAGAAAATAAATATTCGTATCAAAAAAAAAATAAATAAATAAATCATACTTAAAAAAAAAAAGAAAAAAATATCGATGAATTTTGATTTTTTTTTTTTTTTTGTTTCTTTATTTACCTAACTAATAAACAAACAGCCATAATACATGTATTTATATCCTTCATTAACCAATCATTTATTTATTAAGAACGACAAAAAAAAACACACACACACACAAAGAAAGAAAGACAGAACGAGAGAATGAGTCTTATTTCGTTAGTGGTTATATTGCAATTGCTCCTTACAGCGAGAGAACACATTCACAAACAAGTATTTTTATGTTTCAGATTGACGGGAATAGACGCGTCATCCGTCGGCGAGAAAACGCCAACATCTGACGAGTGTGATTGAGAGAGAGAGAGAGAGGATTTTGTTTTTTGTTTTTTTTTTGGTTTCGAAAAAGAAAACGCCACGCGTTTATTGTCTGTCTGCGGTTAAACTCTCTCAATGGCTGAAGGAGATTACAATATCCCATCACAGAGTGGCTGTGACAATCGAATGCAGCAGCCAGAACAACAAGGTTTTAGATAAAAAAAACCCAAAAATTAATCATTTTCATTTTTCATTTTCATAGGTAGTGCATTAGTCAATGAAGAAGAATTAGCAAGTAAAACACTTTATATTCAATCAAAACGTTTTTATCTGGATGTTAAACAAAATCGACGCGGTCGATTTTTAAAAATAGCTGAAGTAATTAATATTCTTTATGAGTTTTTGTTTTGTTTTTTTTTTCTATTCTATTTGTTACAGGTTAGTTCCGGTGGTCGTAAAAGTCGTATATTAATGTCAATGAATATTGCAAGTGAATTACGTGATCATTTACAAACATTTGATGCATATATTCATACATTAGGTTATACAACAAAAAGATTTTTTGTTTGAGAATTTTTTTTTTTTTTTGTCATAATTTTTAAGATGAACAATCTAATAATAATGAAGAACTTCGATCAGCTGTTATATTACGTGATGATCGAAAATATTATCTTGATTTAAAAGAAAATGAACGTGGAAGATTTTTACGTATATCAATGGTTGGTATAAATACACCACGAACACAAATTGCTATACCAGCACAAGGTGTAGAAGAATTTTCTAGTTTATTAACAAGTTTAATTGAAGAATTTGGAAATGAAGATGATCATGGTAAAAAAATTTTTATTCCAAATGATGAAATACAAAACTATAGATAGTTTAATTAAGAAGAATTTTCTATGAAGTTCTG